CGGCGATAAACTCGTCAAAGTTGCCGATATTGCCGTCGAAGTCGTAGTTTCGCTCATCTATGGCATGCATTTGCGGCTATTATTAGGACATGAAATAAAAGTTGTGATTAAATCATGAGATTATTATCACTAAATCTGATGATTACCTCTTCATTGTCCTCCTGAGCGATCGGTTCAGTTGCCATCGAAGCGATGTCATCAGTGATATCAGTATTCATTTTTAGGGATTAATTAAGTGATAGTTTGTGTCCACTGTTTAGGCGACTGATGACTGAAATGAATGTTTTCTGTAATCAAATGATAGTTAATATAAATATAAAAGCTTTGTTTAAAAGTAAAGTAAAAGCAAAGTTGTTTGAAGTTTATCACAAAAACTAACAACGATTTGATTGCTAATTCATAACCAGTCCCTAATCCCTGACCTCCAAAGTCGGGACTTCGTGTGACTAATATGTGTTGAATGTAATGTTTAATAATTAATGTACAATTATTGTACTTTGATCCTTAATATTTATTAAATACTGGTTATAAATACTATTTGAAATATTTCATTTCCTGTTTCAAACTACAGTATCATGTGTCACAAACTTTGATCAAACTACCAATTATTCTTATATTTAAAATATTCTGTACCTATTTAGCACAGTATTTACTATGGATTCTAGTACAGTATTGCAAACAAAAATATTTACCGTAATAAAACTTTAAAATAAAACTATCTTGGTTATAAAATTAATATTTTAATAAAATTTACATCAATTCAACTCAATTGACAAACAAAAAATCAATCATAAAATAAAATAAATATTTCAATTCGTGTAACAAAAGTCAACAGAAAATCAAAAATTTAAGTAATAAATCAAAAAACGAAACAAAAAGACAGTAAAACATAAGTAAATAAATGCGCGGATCAGTTGAGTTTGTGGCGAATATGCTGCGCGCCGCTGGTGGCTAAACAGTAGGGGCACTGGCGGTCGCCGGGATTCATGGAGGGCTGACCGTGCATTTGGGGCACCATCGGAGCCATGGGCGCGAAGTTCGGGTGCATCTGAGTCGGAGCCATCTGCGGGCCATAGTTGCCGGCCATTGAGTACATGGGATAGTACTGGGCGTAAGCTATGGACGGGTCCATCGGGTAGTAGCCATAAGCCGGCGCCCCGTTATAGACCGGCTGATGATTGGTGGCGGCGGCCATCGATGGGTGCGTTGGATGAGCGGCGGATGCGGTGGCGGTGGCGGCGACAGAGGGCTGACATTTGGGAGGGGAGGTGTCACTCTTTGGTGTCTCGCTTCCCACTGATCTCTGTTTGATCTCTTGAGCGTTCAAGAGGTCGCCGCTCGAGATGGAGTCCAGCGATGGCATGGAATCGCTTTTGTCTCCACTGATGATCTCCTCGTGAGTGTCCAGGTCTTTGGCGATGACTACTGACGCGTCACAGATCTGGTCTCCGCTGCTGTCCATCAACGAGACCAATGTGTTGGCCGATGAGATCTCTTCGCTCGTGTACTTCGAGCTGTGACTCTGTTTGGCATCAGTGGTGTCCGTGGCTCTAGTCTGCCGTTTGGTCATAATGTCACCTATTATTGCGAAGTTAGTACTGTAACGCTTGGATCAAATGGTGTGACAATTGATGTCTTAAATGGGCTCAACAGTGGACTCAACGGCTAGTGATTGTGTGGCAATCGATTCACTCGAATGACAGGCGTTTTGAATAGCGCTGAGAGAGTGATGGATAGCGCGCGACATGCAATCAATTGTCAAATTCATTGATACAGTGTTTGCATGAATTATGTGACAGTCTCTGCATAATAGGCGCACAATTGCTGCATAACTCACTCCAGTGTGGGAATAATGGATCAATTATTTTCTACAATCATTTGTTTATTAATTTAAAATTTTTGCATAATTTCTCTATAAATACATGTGTAATGAAATGACTACAAAATTATCTCTTTTTCCAGGTATACTTCCTGCGGGCGCCCTCCTGTCCCCACTTCTTGCGCTCCCGGCGCCGCACATCTTGTGTTAATAAACCGGCTGTTCGTTGAGGTAAACACACATTTATATTACCATTTCACTCGTATTATCAATTGAATGGACACTAAACGCGTACCTAATCTCATCTTCTCGACCATCTTTTCGTCGACAAAACTCCTGAGCGCCAGCGATAGGGCTAACCGTATGGCGCCGGCCTGGGCGGTGGTTCCCAACTCACGCCACGTGTTCCCGGGGCCCACCTTTGAGCCGATGGGCGGCGAGTCGCGGCTCCACTCTTTGGTCATCTCCTCGTGCATTGTCTTACACTCGATGTCCACTTTGAACAACAGACCCGTGAAGGTGAGCGGAGACATCACCTGCTCTCTGATCCGCGCAAATACACGTTACATACAATGAGCTCTTATACAGCCTTTAAACTATAGCTACCTGTCCTGCATGAACTCAAAGTATAGCAAATTTTGGCCATTAATATCTACTTTCCCGGTGCCGTTCCCGCGCACCACCACATTCGCGATACAATACTTTCGCATTCCTATCAAACGCGACAAAAATTGTCAATTATTTTTCAAACGTCTCAACAAATATAAGGCAATCTCCGGAGACCTTTGGCTGTCATATACGGCCGGTCGTTCTCGTCGTACATAAGCGGCGGGATCTGTATCTGCGAGGACACGGCCTTCACTTCCTTCCTGTACTCCATAATGAAGTCTTTAGCCATTTTGGA